GGAGCCAAGATGTGGCAGTCTGGTTCCACAAAGATTACAGTCTTAGAAGCTCTGTGGGACAGTTCTACTCTGTCCTATAGGGTTGTTGTGAGTTGGAATCAGTTCCAGAGCAGTAGGTTTGAGTTTTTCGACTTAACTAGACATTACTGTTTTTTCTAATAAATGGTCTGTGCCCTAAGTTTTGTCATTTCTGCCATGTGCCTAGACTAAAGGATAAAGTGCAGGCTCCTTGATCTGCTTGTTACTAAAGAGCCTGCAAAAATTAAGCTTCATATGTCTCTTCTTTTTCTTTATATAAGGGAAGAAGAATTGAGTAATTACATTTCAAAAAGATTTGCAGCCCTAGTACTTTCTGTTTCTTAACATTGTTTACATTCTTCAAACTAGTGATTAGATTCTCTTCAGTTGTCTTCACCCTATGGGAACATTGTGAGCCACACAGGGCATGATGGAGGCCCATATGGTACCCAAGGCTTTTCTAGTTATGTGAGTTTGATCCATTATGGTTCACCCATGTAGTGCTCAGATTCTAGCTATTGAGAATCCCTTGGGAATTAGAGTAAAACTTGTGTAAGGCAGAAACCTGTCAGAGAAAGAAAACTCAAAATATTTTCTACTAATAGTGATGGAAAAGTTACAAAACTACACCCTGTCAAAGATAGGAAACTTGCAAGATGCAGAAAAATAAGGTGGTCCTATCATTTCCGGCTGATAGGTTTCATTGTATTTGAGGTATCTTGCACCTTCCCTTAATCTGTGATTCTGTATAAGGAAATCAATCATTACGCAAGTGGAACCCTGTGTATCATCTTATTTTGTTGTTTTGTTTTCTGAGAATGTACTAAAGATTTTTTCTAACATTTTATCATGTATTAGGTAAAACTTTGCAGAGCAAATTAGTTTCCCATTCAATAAATTTATACATATACAAATTATTCCATGACATTGGTTGTAATCCTTGCAATGCATCAGCACTCTTCCCATTTCCTCTCTGGGTTCTCCGTTTCCATTTGTCCAGTTACCCTGCCCCTTCCTGCTTTCTCATCTTTGCTTTGGAGTAAATATTGCCCTTTTGGTCTCATGTAGATAATTGTATACAGTGTATGTATAGCACATTCTTAATGGGTGTTACTGTTTATATTATAAACCTGTCTGTTATTTGACTGATTTAGTGATCTTCAGGAGTACCTTCAGTTCAAAGTTAGAAGGGTGTCTTAGGGCTGTAGTCTCAGGGGTTTATGACTTTGAATTCTGTCCTATATTTTTTTCCCACTCCAACTAGGACCTACTACTGTGTTCCTGATCAGAGCAGTTGGTGGTGGTAGCCGGGCACTATCTTGTTTTTTCTGGTCTCAGGCTTGTGGAGGCTGTGGTTCTTGTGGGTCAGTGATCCTTTGATATAATTGCTTCCTTGAGTCTTTGGTTTTCTTCCCTCTCCTTTGCTCCAAATGGGTAGAGTCCAATAGTTGTATCTTAGGTGGCCATTCACAAGTTTTTAAGACCTCAGTCACTACTCACCAAAATAGGATATAAAACATTATCTTTATGAATTATGTTATTCCAGTTGACTACGATGTACCCTAAGACTCATCTAATTTCGTTTCAAGATTTATTTTGTCAGAGGTCTTTTGGAATTTCATTAATATATTAGGTATACCTAATTCTACAGTTATTTCTTAAATTACCTACTATGTGCCAAACATTTTGTCATTTGTAAATTAAACTTTAAAATAAAGATAATGAGTCAGCCAGATAGCAAGATCACAGTACAGAAGGTGGTGTGGTAAGAGTATGGACTTGGAAGTCACACTACCCAGGTTGGAATCCTGAGTCCATCACATACAAGCTTATGACTTTGGACAACACTTAACTCTTAAGACTTCATTTCTGTATCAGTAAAATCGGTTGATAAAAAAATGGTTGATGTAATGAGGATTAAATTAAGCAAATCTGTGAAGTTCACAACATGGTGTAGATCCAGAGCACTGCACACCCATTGCATGCACCCTTGATTCATCTTCACCCCACCTTTGCATACAGTAGACAATAATGGTAAAGTCATTGTGAATGCCTATGTCAAAGAGAATGCCCAGTATAAGAGTCAAGCCTTATCGGGAGCCACATCAGGCCCCTAGGGCTTTTGCCCTAAGAACTGCAATCTTCCTGACTGTGACTTTTTTTTTCCTTTTGCAGCCACAGGTGGAATTAAGAAATCTGGCAAAAAATAAGCTGTTTTTTGTGACTGAGGCTATGGTGATCCCTAATTCCACTCCTTTTAAACATCCGGATTCCCTGCTATAACATCTGTTGCCACCTGTAGTTAGAATGAAGTGTTGTCTTGGAACCTGTTGTACATTTAAGAATAAACTTTTGTTAAAAAAAGAAAACAAAATCATACAATGGTTCATCTCTTTAGTTCTTCTCACTTAACCATTCCTGTCTTAGCTGTGCAGTCAGAGTAAACCCGGTCCAGAATCCTGCCAGAGTCTGCTCTTCGATCTTTGTTATGCCCTGAATTCTGTACCACCTGGAATTAAACCAACTCATTTGAAATAACTGTCATTCCTATGTGGTTATACCAGATGGATTACCTTACATAAGGAAGAATATGTACTTTGGAAAGAAAACTTAACCTCTTTTTCTGTTTTGACATCCACATTCCCATGTGTTTTGAGGAGTTGTTGATCAGCTTATGTAAGGAGTCTACTACGTACAGGCACTGTGGGGGTGCGTCGGCAAAACAGCTCGTGCTCTTAAGGTACTTTTCTATTATAGGAACAAATACATATGATATATACTGTGAAAAATAAAACAGGAAGAAAGAGATTCCTGAAAATCTGTAGGAACCAAACATGCTCAGAAGCCCCTAGGTCTGCACCTCCCTCCACAAGGGCTTCAGAAAAGGCCTAGCTAGGTTCCCACATCTTAAATCCCATGTCCAGTACACCAACAATAAAATCTGGCCTCTTCATACGCCTTCCAATACCTCCCCCCATTCTAATTCCTTACCTGGATTATTGCAATCCAAACTTGTCTTCCCACCTTTACCCCTGGTCCCCTTCAGTCTAATATTCATTTGAGTCAGAGTGATCCTGCTAAACCATAAATCAGACTGTCACTTCTTGGCTCAAAATCTTCAGTGGTAAAAGCCGTAGAATGACCAATCGGGTCCTGGGGGATCTGGACCTCACATCTTCCCCTCTGATTACTTCTGGTCCCCCTGATCCACTTCTTCAGCCACAGGGGCCTGTGTTGCAATCAAGCTACTGCCTTCACTGTGTTTTCAGTGATTTTTATGCCTGTCACACTCTCCATGGAAATACTGGACACTCCCTCACTTTCAGTTAAGAGAACTGAAACAATAGTGAGCACCTCCCTGACTATAATTCAGCAGTTCCAATGTCTCACTCTGTTTTATTCTCCTGCCTGGTTGTTTATCTACCACCCCTGATTAAAATGTAGATTAAAATGCAAATTCCAGAAGGACAAAGACAGTTTATTGCACGACTTGATTCAGAGGCACAAGTCCTTGGATTTCCCCTTCAGGCCCTTGCTACAACTGTGGGAAAAATTAAAGTTTCTCTGAAAATGTGTTTGCAAAGGGACTACAGAATCTGAGATTTGCCAACTAAAGACGAAAAGATTTAAACCTGTGTTAATGTACATTAATGGCTGTAATGTAGTTAATATTAACCAAAGATATTAGTCTGCTTTGAACCTGTTTAAGAAAGTTGCACAACCAGCAGCACCTTCTTTGGGCTTTAGGCATTCCCTATGTGGGCTTGCTGGATATACTCAACCTGGGTGCTGCTGAGAACAGCCTGAGTTCGAGTGCCAGCATACTGCCCCTAGGAGCAAGCTACTTCTCTTTTATTTGTACAAATGAAGCACAGTCCTGTCCCTTTCCAGGATTAGAGATCTGCAACAATTAAAACTTCAGTTATTTTAGCATTTATCTGAGGAAAATCATCAGTTGCCTCAATATATTCTAAGCTCCTTAGGTAGTCAAAACCCTCTAGGCCCTGACAGCAATCTGCCTTTCATTTACTGCTCTCCCAAATATTCACAGGAGGTAGGCAGGTTAAACTTGGCGCTGAGTACAAAAGGATGGAGAGTTTGCCTCTATTACTCACCAACACCAAACCTCTATTTCTGGTAGCGTAGTGCCTAAGGCACTTGACTGCTAACCAGAAAGCCGGCAGTTCAAACCCACCAGCCACTCCTCGGAAGGAAGATGGGGCAATCTACTTCCGTAGTGATACTGCCTTGGAAACCCAAGGAGGGGTTGCTATGAGTCGGGTCCAACTCAACAGCACATAACAACAACAACCCTACCACAACTGATGCCCCATAAACTCTTGTCACGTGCTCAAGCCTAGCTCTAATCCTTGCTCCTCTGTGAAGACTTCTCTCTTTGCCATAGATAACGTCTAACTAGCACTTGTGTGGTCTCTGTGTGGCCTCCATTTAGGGTTGAATTTTTGTCTCTGAGCAGCCTTGTGTGCCTGCCTTCTACCCACTTATCTAGCTAACCCCTACTCATCCTGCTACAGGTACAGCCCAGGTACCACTTTCCAAGGAGCTTGGCTTGATCTTCTGAGCCTCATCTATAAGGCCACTGCAGAGGTCACACTTTGATCGCTGCCTGCCTCCATCCAAACACATACATATGAATGTCAAAGTGAACTCCTCCTGAGCTTCTGTGGACCCCACGGGGTGCCAAGGAGGGAGTGTTCAGACTCATTCGCTTGGCCGAGCAAGTGCGTCTCAGACCTGCAACATGGATAACTGAGGTCGTGCCGCCCCTGGTCCTCCCCGCAGACCTACAGAATTCCACCTGCTAGAATCTCAAGGTCGGGCGTGGCGGACCTAGGAGGGGAAGAACGCCACCAGGGCTCAGCTAAGAATGACGAGTCCTGACTAAGAGGGACGGGAGCTCGGCTGAGAGCAGCGGCGCACGAAGATGTTGTCATTCCTTCGCGTCCGCTAGCTAGCAGGTAATTGGCTCAAGGGCTCGGGGGCAGGGCACTAGCGGCTGAGGCGACCGGCGGCGCGCGGGCGGTTAGTTGGTTTATCCCCCTTATCCCCCAGCCTCGCGGCCATCAGGCGGCTCAGGGCCCTCGGAGACTTGGGACCCGCGGGAGGCATGGCTGGTATCCCCGCTCCCGGCATCAGGAGGAGGAGCGGGCCCCCGGCACCTCGCCCTGGCCCGCCGCCTGGCGCCGGGCAACCCCCAAGCAAGCGGGCCAAGGGCTTTCCTGCGGCCGCTCTGGACCTCGAAGACCCTTTCGGCGCGCACGGGGACTTCACCGCCGACGACCTCGAGGAGCTCGACACCCTTGCGTCACAGGCCCTGAGCCAATGCCCAGCTGCAGCTCGGGACACGTCCAGTGAGTGCGCCTCGGGGCCTTTACCCCAGAGAATAGTGACGACCCCTGACGGCCGCGGCTTCGGAACCGCACGGCGACCGCTGCCCGGATCTCTAGCTCCTACACTGCCTCTTCATCTTTATTAAAAATAGTAATACCGATTTAAGCAGACGTTGTGGTCCAGAAGGTCCTTTGATTTGAGGGAGAACTGTATCAGTAATGTCAAACAGCTGACTTGAAACATAGAAAGCTAGGTTAGCCTTTTACTGCGGTATAAAGTTCTGTCCACACAGTTCTTGGTTCTGAGCAAAGATCCTTGGAACAGGACTACCACCACCACCAGAACCATCACTACCTACTCTTGGGGACAGGTTTGGAAAGCTTTAGATCTTAAAAAGCCCACTGCCCTCCTTGGGCAGTGGTGGAGGTGAGAGATGAAAAGGACTTACTCTTTTATATAACCAATAAAATGACTTACTTTGTGCCAGGTGCCCAAATGTTAGGAACTGCAGTAGACCTAGCAATGGACAAAAGACAAAGACCCTTCCTTATGGAGCTTACCTTGTAAATAGTGGGAGGAGGAGGGTGGAGGATGAGTCTTGTAGGGCTCCCAGAAAGAGAGGAGTTTTGAGGGCACCTTGCATCTCTACTTGGATGTCTCACCAGAAACCAAAACCAAACTTACTGCCCTCAAGTCGTCCCGACTCATAGCAACCGTCCTTGGGTTTCCAAGATGGTATCTCTATAGAAGTAGATTGTCCAGTCTTCCTTCTGAGGAGTAGCTGGTGGGTTTGAACCACCAGCCTCCTGGTTAGCAGCCAAATGTCTTAGGCACTACGCCACGAGAGCTCCCTGGGTGTCTCATAGGCCTCTTAAACTCAACCATTCCCAGTTCCCCTCTTAACACAGTACCTGGCAAAGTCAACACTGAGGAAACATTCAATAACAGTGTTCCACATGACAGTGACTAGCACAGCTCTTCATCCAGTGGTCCCCCTTCCTCAGCCCTACATCTATTTCTTTTCTATATCCTGTCATCTGTACTTTTTAAATCTTATGTCTGGAATCTATCCTCTTTACTTCTCTCCCATCTCCCTAATCTGTGCTATCATCATCCTTCCCCTGGACAATAGTCTGCTAAATTGTCTCCCCATTACCTGTCTTGACTCCCTACAAGTCACAGTTCATATCATAACCAGAGTGATCTCTTCGAAACTGGAATCTAGCTGTATCTCACACAGTTACATGTACACATGTACATATCGAACATCTCTGCTGAAAGCCCTTTAATGACTTCCCACTGCTTCTAGAATAAAGACCAAAATCCTTAACCTGGCCTGCAAGGCCTAACATGCTCCAGCCCTCCCACACACTCTCTGGCTTCTAATCACACTGACTTTCCTTTATTCCTTGGATTTTCTCCACTTCCTTATAACACAGGCACTTTACACTTTACTGTTTCTTACACATTGACCTTTCCATCCATTCCCCATCCTCACTTACCTGGTGTTACAGGTTGAATTGTTTCCCAGAAAGTTATATTAAAGTCTTAACCCCTGTACCTGTAAATATGAGCCTATTTGGAAATAAGGGTTTTCTTTTGTTATGTAATGACATCATACCAGAGTAGGATGAGTCCTAAACCTAATCCCTCTGAGTGTGTTTTACAAAAAGAGCAGAATAGACAGAGGAATAAGAGACCAAGTGAGGAAACGTCTGCAAAACAAAGAATCCCTGGGGCTACCAACAAGGAAGTCACCTCCCCTAGAGCTGGTGCCCTGATTTGGACTTCTAGCCTCCACAACAGGCCTTCTTAATTTAAAGCCAGTACTTAACATTTTCTGTCGTTATGGCAGCACTAGAAAACCAAGTCCTGCTTGTTCTTCATCTCTCAGCTTGGTCATCACTTCCTTGGAGAAGGCTTCCAGTCATTCTGATTGGGTCAAACCCCTATTACAGGCTTTCTTGTATTTGTTCTCCTCTGCAGTTCTTATCACAGTTGTAATTTTGCATTTATTTGTATGATTATTTATTGAATGTCCTGTAAGCTCCATGAGTATAAGGACTGTATCCAGTGTTGCTTACTTTTGTACCATTAGAGTCTAACATTGTGCCTGGCATGTTATAGGTACTCAGTAAATATTTTTGAATAATAGATCACTGAGTTCTGCTCATTGAAGCATTCACATCACCCTTTAGCCCTTATATGAGACTCTGGGGGTGGGTGGAGGGTAGAAGGTGGTAGCAGGACCTTTATTTCATCAGTATCTTGAGTTTAAATCATGCTCTTAGGTTGAAAAATACCTATATTGCTTAATAGATCTTTCTATAATTTGCTTTCAAGAGTTTCTTCTCAGTATTGCCTGGCAAAAATGGGGAAATGTTGGGTCCTGACATGTATATGGGAACTATGTTTTACAGGTGTACATAAGGTCCCCAGAATAGATGGCATGTCAAAAAATAAACATGTGGCAGGAAAAAGCAGAGAAAGTATGCCAATTAAAGATAATTTTGAATTGGAGATACTTCAGGCACAATACAAAGAACTTAAAGAAAAGGTAAGTGATTTGACTTATGCTTATTATAGCTAAAAGGAGCTCTGGTAGCATAGTGGTTAAAGTATTTGGCTGCTAACCTAAAAGTCAGCAGCTGGAACCCACCAGCTTCTCCATGGAAGAAAGATGAGGCAGTCTGCTTCTGTAAAGATTTATAGCCTTACAACCCTAAGGGGCAGTTCTACTCTGCCCTAAAGTGTTGCTATGAGTAGAAATCAACATGATGGCAGTGGGTTTGGTTTTTGGTTTGGTATTATAGCTAATTCATTCACTTAATCATGTATTACACAACATCATACAGTAAAATATACAAAAATTTTAAAACAAGGGCCCAGGTTAATTGAGGGATGAAATGAAGGAAGGCTGGGGAAAGAACACTAGAATACTTAGGCTGAAATAAACTAAATGCTCAGATTCCTAACAGCCAAAGCAAGAAACGCTGTATAGCAGTTCCAAAAAGAGATACAAGCTTTTTCTGTTATAGCAGTGAAATAAATTTATAGCATGTTATCTTCATATGAAAGGAGCTCTGGTTGTATAATGGTTAAGGGATTTAGCTGCTAATCAAAAGGTCACAGGTTTGAACCCACCAGCCATTCTGTGGAAGAAAGATGGGATGGTCTGCTTCCATAAAGATTTACAGCCTTGGAGATATTGGTCCTATAAGTGTATTTGTATGATCTGTAAGAATTCCCAGGTATATAGTAGAGCTGACAAGGGACAAGGTTGCAGTCACTTCTTGATCACAGCCAGCTACCCAGAGGGACCAAGTAGTTGAGCTGGTGGGCTCGGGACCATAGTCACAGGGGACATCAAACTCAATTGGCATAACATACTACACAAAATATTGTTCCACCTCCCACTTTAGCGAGTAGTGACTGGGATCTTCAAAGCTTGCAAGGAGCCATCTAGATGCAACAACGGGTCTCTCCTTGTCCAGAGCAAAGAAGAAAGACGAAAACCAAAGATTCATGGAAACAATTAGTCCTAGTGACTGGTACACCATGCAATCCACAGCCTATACAACTATGAGACCAGAAGAACTAGATGGTGCCCGGTTACCACTGTCAACCACTTGGAAGGGGATCTATGTAGAAGATCCTGGATAGAGGAATAGAGAGGGAGAACGATGTGGAACAAAACTCAAAATCATTTGAGGAAAAAAAAAGGGGCGGGACCAGGTTTGCTGGTCCGATAGAGCCTGGTGGAACCACTGAGACTATGGCCCCTAGCTGCCCTTCAGGTGTGGAATTGAACCCACATCTGTGACTTCCAGGCAAACAAAAGACAGGCATAGGAGTTGAACATGTACCTGAGGTAGATACACTCCTTGGAGAGAACAATCATGGGAGAAATAAGGTTGTTAATGCACAGAGAGACAGCTCAGGGGGCAGGAGTGCATGGAGGGATGGACACAGGGAAGAGGTAACTATCGGGAGGAAGTGGGAGGGGAACCTTTGCATTGGGGTAAATTGTGGTCAATGTCATGAGACAAAGTATATGTGAACTGCTATATGGAAAGTGAATTTGCTCTGTAAATTTTCACCCAAATCACAATAAAAATAAAAAGATTTACAGCCTTGGAAACTCAATGGGGGTCGCTATGAATTGGAATCAACTCAATGGCAGTGAGTTTGTTTTTTTATCTTCGTATGATGAGTGCAACATCATAATACTTGCTGTTTTCATTAGTAGCTTTGCCAGAAAGCAGTCATCCTTCACATGATCATTTTTCAGTAGCTCTCTAGGGAAACCAGAAACATGTGATATTTAAGTTCTGTGAAGTATGTGGCCCACACTGTTTATCAGAGCCTAATGTAGCTGAATGAGTGAATGGCAAGTGTATCCCTAGGCTGTCCTGCTGAAAATCAGCTGTCCCATGAATGGGACTAGCAGACCATGGTGAAGACTGGTTGGCACAGATGTATTTTGAGCACTCATTAGTCTCTAGGATATGTTTTTCTGTGCTTTCTCCCTCTCCCCAGCTACATGTTAAAAAAAAAAAACAAACCAATTACTTTTGCATCATTTCCAACTTGGGCCAACACAACATGTGTCAGAGTAGACATTCCATCAGGTTTTCAATGGCTGATTTTTCAGAAGTAGATTGCCAAGTCTCTTCTGAGGCTCCCCTAGGTGGACTTCAGCCTCCAACCCTTCAGTGTACATTGATCATTTGTATCACCACATAAGGGACTCCTTTCATGTTAAAGCAACACTTTAAAGCAAGTACATACGTAATATTCTCTTGCAAACTTCTCACAAAATTGATTTGGGATTTACAGCTGAAGGCAATGGAAGAAGACGTCCTCATTAAAAATGGAGAAATTAAAATTTTGCGGGACTCACTGCATCAAACAGAATCCATTCTAGAGGAGCAGAAACGATCACATTTCCTTCTTGAGCAAGAGAAAGCTCAAGCACTGAATGACAAAGAAAAGGAATTCTCCAAAAAGGTGACCCAGAATATTTGTTTTGCATGTTATAGATACCAGCTTTGCCTGCTTGCTGAGTTCCTTTAGAAGCAGTGATCAAAGTTGCCTGTAAATCTTCCAGGAAGATTTCAACAAACTTTAAGTTCTTTGTGCTATCAACTACTTGCCATGTACTTTTTTCCAGGCTTTGCATGTGGTTTGGAAAAGGACTTAGATGAAATTCTACTTTTCTGTGGCAGTTGGTCTTGGCAGAAATAAATCACTAGTTTAAGATTTTGAGAAGCAGACTAAGTTAAGGCCCTTTCTCTAGGAACTCTGTTGACTTAGCTTAGGCCAAAAGTGAATGCGTTGGCTTCCATAACCAAGTCTGGGAAAAGCAGGGATATAGGGCTTCAAATGACTCAAGACATTGCTAGAACTCATCTTTTTCCTCTACACTATAGGCTTCATCCTTATGGTAGGGAATGTGGTCTCCAGGAGCTCCCGGGCTCACATTTTGTAGCTCTAGAGCAGAGTTAAGACCTGAGCTCCCTCATCTGAGGTTTTAAAATTCTGGCGAAGGCTATGATTAATCTACCACATGTCAGTTGCCTATCCCTGGACCAGTCTCTGTAACCAACGAGATGGCAACTCCCACTCAAAGTGTTTCTCAGGGGGAAGGAGATGCTGTTCTGGGAAGAAAAACAGTAAGTAAGTATCCAGTATGTACCACCACTTTCCTTCAGCACTTCTCCATGTTGTAGTCTCAGAGACACAAGTCTTATTCTGCCATTAGTTCACTCAGCGAACTTAGTAAACATTTAAAGCATTTAGCTGTGCTGGCACTAATAACAGTAACGACTTTCCTTATAAGTGATGAAAAGCCTGGGATTTGCAGTCGAACAGGAATTTGAATTCAGTCCTCATCATATGCAAGTGGTGATCTCAGGCTAATGACTTAAGTGCCATGGCTCTTTGCCTTTATCTGTCCCAGGAAATAATCAGAAAGTTTGTTGGGAGAAGAACAGCTCCTGCACCTACTGTGTCTGGTGCTGTGTCTGGCATGGAATGTGTTTGGTGAATGATGGCAGTTACTATGGACTCTTAGGCACTTGGGGCCAAAGCATCAGGTCTCCCCACACCACACAGGGTTTTGGTGACACTATTCCAAATACTCTACCCAAACTTGCAAGAAGACCTGGAATTGTACACCAGTACGTTCACTAAAAGGTCAACACATTGCTGCTGAGATACCGCACCTCTCCAAGCTCTGTGCCAGGCATTTTACATACATCACATTATTCTTATTTAATCCCCTCAACCATGATGGAATAGAGATTATGTTATAGATAAGCTAAGATTCAGAGAGGCTAAGTATATGGTGGGGCTGGTATTTGAACCCTCACAAACTATCCTCAGAATAGTCTGAGTCAAAATCACTTTTTAGAGCACCATGCCATTCTTTCAGGAAGAAGGCTAAATAAAGTTTGGCATTTTAGGACATTTATATCATAGCAGACTTTCATACTTAGTTGCTATTGTTTTTCCTTTATTAGCTTGAGAGTTTGAAGCCCAGACCTATTTTTGACTATACGATAGACGAGTATCTTTGTTTTATGTGCCTTCCAGCTCCAATCATTGCAGTCTGAACTCCAGTTTAAAGATGCAGAGATGAATGAATTAAGGACAAAGCTTCAAAGCAGTGAACGAGCAAATAAACTGGTTGCACCACCCATTTCCCACCTCAGGTAATGATGATGCAGGAGGGAGAGTTCAGTTTTGCATTGTATTTTAAACAGACTAAATAACAATGTCAGGGAAGTCCTGAACGAAGGCCAAGACTTCTGCCACCTGGGCAGAGATCCTCTTTCCTGAAGGACTCAAGGGCAGTTTGAATGAGACTGCAGTGCTTTAGGCATTGTATCATAAAGGCCCAGCACTCTAGAAGTGATTCTTCTTATATAGGCCTTGATAAACCCAGTTTCTTGGTATTAGATTTATTTGAGCTAAACTAGAAAAAGTTGGAATTTTTTGCCCATGCACGAATATTTTCCAGTGCTGCCAGCTACTTGGAAATTTTTCTCATTTGCTACCCTAGAATCTTTGTCCAAGAGCCCCTCCCTGCCTTTTGTTGCCAGGTGTGTGGTCAGCTTGTTAGTGGTCTATGTCCTGCCCTCTAGGTGCTGCTAGAAAAGTCTAGCACACTGTCAGTGTCAGCCTTGAAATGTCTACAGCGTGATCAAGGCATCTGTCTCTGGTCTTGAACATCCTGCCTCTGAATAGGCCTTTGCCCATAATGGGCAGGATCTTAAATTGCATTCTTAGCCTATGCATAGTCTATGTAAGACATGAGAGCTGAAGGGGACCATCCTCACCTCTTCACACATCACTAACAGAGGGGCCTCAACATTTCCACCCAGCATATTTACATTGTTACAAACTCCAGATTAGAGAGTTAAGACTGCCTCTCTAGGGTAAAGACACTGGCACTGAGAGATTTGCTAAATTTTCAAGTTATAAAACACCACACACCTTCTGATAGATCCTTTTCTATTGGAAGTTTTTGGATTGAGTCCCTGGCTATGAAAAAGAGGTTGTTCTAATCAATAAGATGTTTTGTGATATTGGAAATAGTACAGTAGAGATTAGGGCTAATATTTTGGGGATGATTAAAATAGAGAAATATATGACTTTTCTAACAACTTGGATCAAAATGTCTAGAATTTTACATTGCTGTCTTGACAAATAATATAAATATATAAAAGATAAAATCTTTATTTAAAACACTTAGATTTGAGAAGGTTTAAAGCTTGTTGTTACAAGTTTTATAACTATTTTAAGTGGTTTTAGCAGAATCACTGCTTTGCTTTCATAGTTAACTTTTTCCAGTCCTAGGAAGAGTCCTTCCATGGTTATAAAGCAAGAAGCATGTTCTCCACAATTTGGAAAAACATCTTTCCCTACAAAGGAGTCTTTTAGCGCTAACATGTCCCTTCCCCATCCCAGCCAGACAGAGCCAGGATACAAGTCCCTGGTGGGCAGAGAGGGTAAGTCAGTATATTAGTCATCTGTTTCTGTGTAACAGATTACCCAAATTTATACCTTAAAACATCAATAATATTACTGTGTCAGCAATTCTAACAAGCTGTAATGGAGACAGCTTGTCTCGGCTATGGCTGGATTCAGGTGAAGGCTTCACTGGGGCTGACAAATCTGTTTCCCAGGTGACTTACTCACGTGGATTTCTCTCCACATGGGGGCCCCTCCATAGGTCTGCTTGAAGGTCCTTATGGCATGGTGGATGGTTTCCTGTAGAGTGAGCAAAGCCAGAGAGAGCCAGGTGGAACTTACCTTTTCCATGGTCTAGCTCTGGAAGTCACATAGCATCACTTCTGCCACATTCTATTTGTTAGAAGCGAGTCAGTCCACCTGGATGACGTTCAAGGGAAAGGAAACTAGAATTCACCTTTTGAAGGGAAGCATATCAAAGAATTTGCAGGCATATTTTAAAACTGGAGCTCTGGTGGCATAGTGCCTAAGGCACTTGACTGCTAACCAGAGCTCTGGCGGTTCAAACCCACCAGCCACTCCTCAGAAGGAAGGTTGGGCAATCTACTTCCATAGCGATACCACCTCGGAAACCCAAGGACGGGTTGCTATGAGTTGGGGCCGACTCGACAGCATATAACAACAACAATATTTTAACGCTACCCCAGTCAGCATCCATTGACCATGATGGAAACACAGCTAGTGTTCAGGGACATGTGCTCCTTTTAGCCATAAGCTTATATGGCTAGTCCAGCCTGAGGGCATGCTGCTGCTTTCTGAAGAGAAGCAATCTAACCCATTTCCACACTGAGACTATTGTGCCAGTTTATCTTATGACTCAGATACATTGCCTCTCTCTCCCCTTTTTAATTATTGGCCATTGTGGCACCTCTGAGAAACTGCAGCCCATTCACATTTTTGGCATCTAGTAATTAAACAGTATAGGATAGTGTCACAAGCAAGCAGTGGAGCCCAACAGTCTGGATGTGAGCTCCACTCACAACACATACTGGCTTATGTGACTTTGGGAAAGTCCTTTCTCTGCCTGTAAAATAAGGCTAATGATAACACCTCTTCTGTTCTATGAACAACAAATGAACTAATATGTATAAAACTCTTCAAACAGTGACTGGCATGTAATAAGCACCACATAAGTATTAATAGTTACCATTTTTATTCTATTGTTTCATTTTACAGTGTGGCAAATTTATATTCATTCCCTGTGCAAGTTTGTGTTTCACATGAGGAAGACAAAGTATATGAGGGTTCATTGAGCTGTTCCAGCTCTTATTTTGACCCAAGGTTGAAGAATTAGGACAATTTGACTTTGTTTAAAATACATTACACATGAGAGTTTCTGAGATAACTGTGTTTTTTATTTTATCTCATTTCAGAAAATAAGACCTATAGTCTGGGAGTTGAATCCATAGAACAAGAAGATGCCCAGAAAATTCTTGTTGACAGCTGGATGCAGAGATCAGACACTCAAGGTACCAAAGTGCCTGCTCCGCTTGTATGGCTCTGACTGGCCTCTTCAAAGGCTGGGTCCACAGTACGATCACCTGAGGAACTAACTGTCTGGGGCTCTGAAAACCAGAGAGCCCAGCACTACAGAGAGTTGAGAGGAGTGATAATCTGTGACTTAAGCAGATGACTTTATAAAAGGGAAAGGGCCAAGAGCAGGTGTGTCCCAGAGCCTTCAGGTGTTCCAGTAGGTCCTTAGCTTAGAAGATTGTTGGTGGCCAAGCAATCCCCAGATTTTCCTTCTGAGGCCCTAGAAAAAGCCTCCCCTGTCAGAACCTTCTAGAATCATCTTCTTTTCTCCAGGTTCCATTTTGATAAACCTGCTTCTGAAGCAGCCTTTGATCCCAGGGTCATCCCTAGGTCTGTGCCACCTCCTGAGCAGTTGTTCTGAAGCTCCTGCTGGCACCACTTTACAGCCACCAGGGTTTGGCAGGTAAGCACAAGGCTCCTAAAAAGCTCATCTGGGAATGAGAAAGCCAGCCCCTTTCTGGGAGGTCTGTGGGCTGGGTCAGGCTGGGAGACTAGAGAGTTTAGCAGGGAGGTTGTTTGGGACCCTCGACCTTCTCTCCATCCCACACTTGTCTCTTTTCTTTTGTGTTTATTACCAGTAACTTGGCTGGTATTTCAGGCCTCAGGACCACAGGTTTTCGTGAGGGGTCATTTTCCTTCTCAGCCCTGAGAGAAGCACAGAACCTGGCATTCACTGGACTGAATCTGGTTGCTAGGAGTGAAGGTTCGTGTGACCGAGACCCAGCAGAGGAAGGCAGAAGGACCTTTCCACTCTGCCAGCTTCCTGGAGCTGTGCATCTTCTCCCCCTTGTCCAGTTCTTCATTGGCTCACACTGCCAGGCTCTGCAGGATTTGGCAGCAGCCAAGAGAAGCGGAGCACCTGGGGACTCACCAACACATTCCTCCTGCGTGAGCTCAGGGCCGGAGGCCAGCCCTGAGGACTCACTTTGCAGCTTGGAAAGTTTCTCTGTGGCTTCACTTAGCATTCTTCAGCACCTGGTGTGCCACAGCAGAGCAGTCGTCAGTCTCTTATTGTCAGGAATGGGGGCTAACACTGCTTCTGGGGAAGGAAACAAGAGCCCAGTTCACAGACACAGTCATGGAGATGTGACCTCAGCTCCAAAAGGGATTACTGATGACCAAGCCCAACACCCACTATTGAAGATGCTTCTTCACCTCTTGGCTTTCTCTTCTGTAGCAACAACTCACCGAGCCAGTATCCTGAGCCAGTGCATTAAGGTTTTGGTGAAGTTAGCAGAAAATGCTTCCTTTGATTTGTTGCCCAGGTATAATGCAGCATGGGAGTCACGCTACTTTGTGGGTCTTACCTGACCTCTGATAGGCTATTTGTGACCCCTGTACTTTGCTCACATCCTTGATTTGTTTACACTGCTAAGTTCAGGGAGTACTGAAGTGATGGGAAGTGGGGCCAGGTCTTGGGAGAACCAAGGAAGTGGTCTGTTTGGTTTAATTCTGCCTCTATACAGCAGGTAAGCCGAAGGCACACATGATAAAAGGAGGCTGTTAGCTACCGTGGAAGAATGCCCTGCACCCCAGGACAAAGGCTGAACCAAGAGGCCTTTGAACCTGGGACATGTATCAGGTGAAAGCCACACAGCCACAGCCACATTTCATTTGGTGGATTCCCTAAAGAAGCAGAGGATGTGGGAAAGGTCTGCAGCCCACAAGCTGACCTGCTGGGTACCTGTACAACATTCTGCCGGCACAAGCCACACGTTGCTCGCTCCTCTTAAGGTTTATTGGAAGCTTCACTCTTGAAGCTAGCTAATGAGCACTGTTAGCACATATCCTAGTTTAGGATTCCAGGGCCTCCAGAATTCCTACCCGCGTCCAGTAATCTCATCCCCCCTTGGCACTCCACCAAGGGGCCAGTTGAAGTGATTCCACTGAGTATACACATTTTAAGTCGTCTTATCTCTCAGTTCAACATTTCCCATTTCCTGAAACACTTCAGGATCCTGGTTACCATCTACATGGCTTCTATTTGGTCTCAACCATCCTGCATGTGGCAGTCAGAACTGGACACCATACTGCAGTGCAGTGTGAGCTGCATGGTGGTGGGCAGAGCCGTCGTCCAGGTGCCTGGCAGGGCCCAGTTCATAGTAGCTGAATGCTTGTTTCATATTTGTTAAACAAGTGAATTCCAGAAACCACATTTTACCAGTTCTTTTGGCAGATACATCAACATTCCATTCCTAGTGATCTTGTCAATAGGACATTCAAAAACAGCCATTGAATGGGTGCACTATAAGCCACTGACGTGCCTGCCATTCACAGCTCATGTGAAACCCTCACAGCCCTGCATCCTCACACTTTGTACAGAGCCTGATGGCAAGCACTCAGTCATTATTTGTTGAGTGAGTAAACCCTGTTTCAAGGTAGGGAAACTTAACTGAAGCTCCAGAGGGAGCATCCTGGGGGTGAGGGTGGCTTTCAGGCCAGGTGTTAGTCTCTTGTGCCATTGACGTTGATCATAATCATGCACCACCTCCTTCGATTCTCTTCAGAATTCCTTTATGCTCTACATGCTTAGGCTGAACCCCGCTACATGCAGCTTCCTGTCCATCTTAGAGTGAAAGCTCAGGACAGGTGCACTGTCAAGGCTTGAAAGCACTTGTGTGATACAATCAGGTAACCGGGAAGGCTGCAGCATCTTCAGTTCTCAGTAGCCTTACAGATGGGGGGTGGGGGGGGTCCTCACCTATCTAGGCTTTAGAGCAAATCATCCACTCTTCTCTTGTTCCTACTGCATCTGTTGTAGTCCTAAGGGTTCAGGGTTGTCCCCCCAGGGATTGGGACCGGAGGGGGTTTTGCACAAATGTTGTTGTTGTTATTTGCCATCGAGTCGGCCCCGACTCCTAGCGACCCCTCCTTGGGTTTCCGAGGCAGTTATCACTACGGAAGTAGGATTGCCCAGCCTTCCTTCCGAGGAGTGGCTGGTGGGTTTGAACCACCAGCCTCTTGGTTAGCAGTCAAGTGCCTTAGGCACTATGCTACCAGAGCTCCTTTTGCACAGATAGGACCCACCAATTTCATTCAGAAAGAAGGTTGGAAACTGTTGTGTTGTACATAAAGATGAGTTTTTCTTGAGGATAGTTTCAGGGGCCCTAGTAGACTAGTTAGGGACCACTCCTAGCCAAATAATGAAATCAGGTAACAATCAGGTTAAATTTCGTTCTCGATAAAGTCCCACTCTCCCTGGCAGCTGAAGAACATGTAGCAGCTTTCCTGTTCAGAATTTGTTCTTAAATTAGTTCACCCAAAATAGTATGAGACCTTGCTTCCTAGGGATGTACTGAGGACTATTCTTGGCCCATATTTAGGAATATGCCCTCTGCTCAAACACTGCAGAGACACGAAGGGATATGTAGGAAGCCAGAACCAAAGGATGTTTTAGAATTGCCCCTCTCCCCACCCAGTCCTCCCTCACACTCCCACAGCCATGAGGATTGAGTTGTGTGGACTGAGTAAACAGCAGTGGTTGTGTTGGAACTTGAGTCCTTGGTAAAAGTTGTACCTTTGTTCCTGGACCTGGGTGAGAGTGTGCCCACAGCCCCTGACTGGTGCACAGGCCCACAATAGACATCTCACGCTTGCCAGCAGAAGAGTCATGGTTTTTGACAGTGGAGAGAAATGGTCTTCCTTGTTCTGAGTGGTCTCAGGATCCAGCTGTAGCCAAGAACACGTGTCACTGACTGGCCAAGGAGCCTCAGCCAGTCAGCAGACAGAATGTTTCTCACACCAGGTTCTAACCTGCATCCCTATTTTGGGGGCAGAGGCAGAAAAGAGCCCAGGAGCTGTGTGTTGAGGGCCCAGGCATCCTGGGTCCAGGAAGTCCTCCCATTTACTGGGGGACACTATGCCAGGTGAGGGCCTGTCAGCTTTGGCAGTCCTACCTATAGTGAAGGTTAGTACCCATGTTTTCACATGACAATTTTTTTTTTTTTTTTTTTTTTGCACTGTTTGCTCCTACCCCCAGTAACCAAGAATGGAGGAAACAAGTTTTGTAGCAAGTAGGCAGTAGAGAGGCCAACATTTGAATCCAAGTTGGTCTCTTCTTCATGCTGCCCCACTCTGGTGGTTTGGTGCCTAAGGCATTTGACGGCTAACCAGAAGGTTGGTGGTTCAAACCCACCAGCCCCTCCACGGAAAGAAGACTGGGCAATCTACTTCTGTAAAGCTTTACTGCCTCAGAAACCCAAAGGGGGTCACTATGAGTTGGAATCGATGGCAGTGAGTTTGGTTTTTTGATTTGTAGTGGTGCAGTGGTGAAACTGCTGGGCTGCTAGCCACAAGATTGGCAGTTCAAATCCAACAGCCGCTCCACAGGAGAAAGATGTGATAATCTGCTTCCCTTAAGATTACAACTTTGTTGTTGTTGTTATGTGCCGTCGAGTCAGCCCCAACTCATAGCGACCCCTCCTTGGGTTTCCGAGGCAGTATCACTACGGAAGTAGGATTGCCCAACCTTCCTTCCGAGGAGTGGCTGGTGGGTTTGAACCGCCAGCCGTCTGGTTAGCAGGCAAGTGTCTTAGCCACTATGCTACCAGATTACAACTTTGGAAACATTATTTGGGTTATTCTACTATAGAGTCACTGTGAGTTGAAATCAACTTGATGGCAACGGGGGTGTATGTACTCTGATTTCTGTTACATCTATTGAAACCAAAAAACTAACCTCACTGCTGTCAAGTCGATTCTTACAGTGATCCCCTTTGGGTTTCCAAGGCAGTAAATCTTTACAGAAGTAGATTGCCCAGTCTTCCTTCTGAGGAGTGGCTGGTGGGTTTGAACTGCCAACCTTCTGGTTAGCAGTCAAATGCTTTAGGCACTACACCACCAGAGCTCCTTATATCTGTTGAAAAGTAGGGGTGAATTGTGGAATTGGGGTTGGGGGGTATCACGTCTCTCTGGGCCTATTTTCTAGGTTCCAGTGTGTGTTCCCAGTACTACCACAGTGCCTCAGCCAAGAGACACCCCTGCCCAGTGTGCTGCTGACTGTTGAGCTCCTCTCCCTCTTGGTGGACCACGAGAAACTCGCTCCTCAGCTCTGTTCCCACTCAGGTGAAACAAGGTGGGGTGGGGGGAGGGCTGTGGCAGGCACAGGGTTATAGGCCTGAGGGTGGCTGCAGCTTGTCCCCCGGGCTCTAGGTGAGAATGGCGTCCTGAGTGAGACGGGGCATCCTTTTCAGAGGGCTGCCTCCTCCTGCTACTGTACATGTACATCACGTCAAGGCCTGACAAAGTGGCCTCAGAGAAACAGTGGCTCCAGCTGGAACAAGAGGTAAAAATTTCCAGATTCTTCTGGGGATTCCTTACCACCCCACCCCGGGGCCCACAGACCTTTTTCTTTCCTTCCCAGCCTAGGGAGACAGGGAGCTTTAATTCATTCTGCTGAGGATGGCACAGCCTTGTTCTTGTCCTAGGTGGTGTGGCTTCTGGCGAAGCTTAGTGTGCAGAGTCCCTCCTCCCCAGTCACTGGCTCTGATTGCCAGTGCAACGTGGAGGTGAGTGACCAGGGGCAGGTAGCAGCCAATAGCGAGGCTGTGCAAGGACACCATGCTCCTAACTCTGGTGCCCATAACTCAGAACCATCCTCACCTGGGGCACTAGGAAACGTGCTGCCCAGTTGAGCAAGTTTTTAGGGCACAGGAAGCTGGTAGACTTGACTTGTTGCCCCACCCCACCCCAGGTGGTGAGAGCACTTACAGTGATGTTGCACAGACAATGGCTGACAGTGCGGAGGGCAGAGGAGCACCCAAGGACTGACCAGCAGAAACGGACAGTGCGCTGTCTGCGGGACACAGTGCTACTGCTTCACAGCCTGTCCCAGAAGGACAAACTCTTCACTGTGCACTGTGTGGAGGTCCTGCACCAGTATGATCAGGTGATGCCAGGGGTCAGCACACTGATCCGAGGGCTCCCTGATGTGACAGATTGTGAAGGTGAGCTGGCAAGTCACCTCCCTGCCCAGCCCGCACATGCATTTTTCCCTGAAGCTCATGGACAAGGCCCACTTCTGGTCCGCCTTCAGCAGTCCTCTGCCTGCCACAACCTTACCGGCACTGGGTACACGCTCATTGTCTCCTGCTCTGGTTCTTCTCTGATCACATTGGGCTGCCTTTTGCTCCTATCTGTTGAGTTGGCCTGGCAGAGCCACGTTTTTTCCAGAAATAGCCCTGCATGAATTGCTTTTGTATCACTTTGTTTGCAGTAGCTGAGGGAGCAAGGCCTGGGTGTGAAAGGGACTAGTTAGTTCCTGCGGGCATTAGGGGAAGAGAGGTGAGGCCCCAGTCCCCAGCACTTTCGGGCCTTCACCATCAAACTATATTCTTTCTGGTTCAGAGGCAGCCCTGGACGACCTCTGTGCTGCAGAGACTGATGTGGATGACCCAGAGATGGACTGTACCTGAGCCCAAGGAGCAGCCAACCACACGATGGCGCCTCGACCACCGTTTTCCTCACTTCATCTACTTATTAAAAGCTATGATGGCTGTTCTGCTGAGAACACACCAGCCTTGGTGTTGTGTTTCCTGAGTCTTATCTGTGTTGGCTAAGTGGGAAGCATGCCACAGGACCCTGGGACCCTTGGAAGGCTGGGATCCCTCCTCCTGTCCCTGGCTACAGCTGAGACCCCGTGTCCATGGTAACTAATCAGCCTCAAAGAGGGAGCCCAGCAATGCTTGTGCAATTGCTGAGTCACTGTTTTGGGCTGAGGCCATGGAAAGAAACTATTGTGTGTCTGAGAACAACAGGCCCTCACTACAGGACTAACCTAGAGAGGCCTGGGAAAGTGAGCCAAGGGGTGGGTGCAAAAGGGCCATAGCAGGGGCTCCCGGGAGTGCTGGAGCTACCCGGGAGAGCACTCTAGTGCACTGTGCCAGCGACTGGCCCACAACCGTGGATCTGAGATGGCCTTAGGGCACCACTAGGGGGAGGGGAGGGACGGGTGCTGGTGAAAGAGGCCTAGAACAGACCCGCTGAGGAAGAGCAGGGCGGGCCCTGTTCATGTGCGCCTGTAGGCGGGTCTTACTCATGCAGGGAGAGGTGCGGGGGGAGAGCTGGGCAGCCTGGGCTGTGTTTCACTTCCCACCATTGCTGGCCAGCAGTGAGAACCAGACCAGACGGGGTGCGACCTGAGTGATTGCTGCCTGTTAGCGGTGAGTTCAGACTTCCAGGGAGATGGGGGGTGGGGGGAATAGCCATAGGTCCCCATCCCAGGTGGGCACTAGGGGAGAAGCCAAACACGTGACAGAGACCCAAAGATAATGATAGCTGAGTGTGCTCTTTGCACTCATCGCGCTAAAGAAGCCACTCAACCCTGAGATGGCTTCCTGTCCTCACCTCACCCCCACCATTGATCTTTCTTCTGGGGCACTCATGCAACACACCCCTACTCCATGCTCCTCCCCAGGCACAGCCACAGGTACTACCTCCACCATGGGCTCACAGGCCCCGTCCCAGGTTCCCACGCAGACCCTCATCTTCTTGGATCTGGAGGCCACTGGCCTGCCCTTCTCCCAGCCCAAGGTCACGGAACTATGCCTGCTGGCCATCCACAGATGTGCCCTGGAGAACCCCCCTGCCCCCCAGGGGTCACCCCATACGGTGCCTCCACTGCCCCGCGTGGTGGACAAGCTCTCCCTGTGTGTGGCTCCGGGGAAGGCCTGCAGCCCTGCAGCCAGCAACATCACAGGTCTGAGCACAGCTGCACTCACAGCACACGGGCGTCAATGCTTCAACGCCAACCTGGTCAACCTGCTCCGAGCCTTCCTGCAGCGCCAGCCACCGCCCTGGTGCCTTGTAGCACACAACGGTGACCGCTACGACTTCCCTCTGCTCCAGGCAGAGCTGGCTGCACTGGGCCTTGCCAGTGCTCTGGACGGCGCCCTCTGCGTGGACAGCATCACTGCCCTGAAGGCCCTGGAGCGTGCCAGCAGCCCTTCCAAGTGTGGCCCAAGGAAGAGCTACAGCCTGGGTAGCATCTACACACGACTTTACGGACAGAGCCCACCAGACTCACACACAGCTGAGGGGGACGTCCTGGCTCTGGTCAGCATCTGTCAGTGGAGGCCACAGGCCCTGCTGCAGTGGGTGGACACTCACGCTAGGCCTTTCAGCACTGTCAAGCCCATGTACAGTGTTGAAGTCTCCACTGGGACCAACCCAGGGCCATTGGCTGCAACAGCCACCGTACCCCAAGGCACAGCCGGGAAAACCAGTCCCAATCTTGAAGGGGGCAGAAGGCTGAAGGGTCCTCTTCCCATGGAGAGCCCTGGAGCCTCACCCAGGGAGGGGTTGCTGGCCCCACTGGGCCTGCTGGCCTTCCTGACCTTGGCAGTAGCCACACTGTATGGGCTGTCCCTGGCCACACCTGGGCAGTAGGGCCAAGAAAGAAAACCTAATAAAGACCCCCAACATACTGAGCAGTCACTCGCCTCTTGACAGACAGTATGCTGCCCTCTGGGGTGGAGAACACAGAAGGTGGCAAGTTTCTATCTCAGCAGAAAGTCTGAACCCAATAAAAGTAGGAAGGCACTTGGTCAAAATCAAAGAAAATCCAAGTGTTGGATGGAAATGGTACACAGCCTAATGCCCAATCCCAGCAGCCAAGGCTATGAAGAAAGAGGGAAACAAGTTCAAAGGTTTGCATTTATTATAAACAAGGTGCAGACTCCAGAACATTTCTCAGAATCATAGCAGCAGATACAAAGCTAAGATGTTCCTGGTGAAACAGAAGGACAAGAACACTCAAGGTACTTGCATTTGAGCCAGAGCTATCAACCATGGCCCTGTCCCACCTGTGATCCAGACTGCCCCTTGGCCCAGGTATCCTGCTGCCAAGATGAATTGTGGACGGAGGTACAAGGAGCTGAATGTTCTGTGGTGCTGGTGTTGGGGGAGCAGGGACTCAGAGGTCAGAGTGCCCCTCTTTGTCAACCACTTTCCCCCCAGGACCCAGGAGTTTCAGCCTCACAGCAACTGTCACACATTTTGAAACAGAACATGGGGCAAAATATTTGGCTGAAAATAAAAACACTGCAGGGTGGAGACCTGAGTCTGTTGGTGGACAGAGGCCTTCCTGCCCACTTATAGCAAGGGCTGGGGCCAGCAAGAACAGATAAACTTCCCCAAAGGTAGCCAGAACCATGGGTGGATGTGGCCCTCCAGGTGGTCCCAGGAAAGGTGCAGGGACAGTTCAGGCAGACAGCTGTCAGGTACTGAAACTGGCCCTGAGAATGGTCTGGAGTGAGTGGGACTGTGCCTGAAGTGTTTTCTATCACCAACCCCCTCTAGGCATGGCACAGTCTCCAGGGAGCTGCGGGACCTCTGCCCAAAGGACAGAAACTCAACCAGCCAGGTCCCAATTTCACCCACTTGCCTGCAGCATGTGCCTGGCTCTGAGAAGATCACCCCACACCCTGAGAAGTCGTGGCCACAAGCAATGGCTGGCCACTCTGCTGAAGCAAGGACACAGAATAACGGATACACTCTGGAAATTCTGGCCCACAGAGTGCTGTGGCATCCTAGTGGCAAGCCCCATGCAGTCTCCCCAGGGTGTTCTAGAAAGAAGCCCCTCCCCCATTCTTTGAAGTTTGTTTCAGATTTCAGAAAGCATAATTTCAGTTTCAAGTGAGGAAAAGGACAAAGCCTGGTCCCAGCCCACTCTGGCAAGGGTCGTTCCCTACCTCGTCAGTATGAGAAAAAGCCACATGTACAGAGGGAGTGTACACATACACACGCACATACACATACAGACCATGGGATAGAAAAGAACTGTGCCAGTATAACCATTCATATACAAACATCACAATCACAGTGGAAGCCAGAGAGGCAGGGGCACGCTCAGGGGGCTGCCTTTGGGGGATCCATGTAGGCCGGGTTGTACGGAGGCTGGCTGGCCGGGTAGGGCGCGGCTGCACCTCCTGAAAATAAAGAGGACACAATTTGCTGTGGGCAGGAAGGGGTGGAGGGTCTGTGCAATGATGTACTCTGGGATGGATGCCCTGGGAGGGAGTAGAGGGAAGAGCCCCAGGTCCAGGGACCAGGTAGGGTCCTAGAGGTGGCCGTGGTACTTACCAGCCAGTGTCTCGTGGTAGGCAGGTGGGCCCATGGGCTGTGCTGGGTAGGGCGGTGGGTATTGCATTGGGTAGGGTGCTACCGGCATCCCTGGCTGGGGGGGTACAGGGTGGTAGCCCTGGTACGTCGGCCCAGGGTAGCTGGGCGGCATGCTCGAAGGCTGCGGGTATGGGGTATGCACCACGGTGGTGGATGTGGTGGTCACAACCGCTGCAAAGAAAATCCCAGTCAGGACCCTTCATCCCCAGGCCTTGAGGGCCAGGCCTGCTGCCCCTCCCTTTATCTTAGCCAAAGCAGCCCCACCTGCCCACCCAGGGGTTTGCACTGCACATGGGCTTGCTGTGGGGGGGGGGGGGGCATGCTTACGACGGGGTCGGCGGCACATCTTGTACAAACAGCAGCAGGAGCAGGTGAAACAGATGATGATGGTGACAATGGAGAGCACAAAGATGGTCAGGCCAATGGCCACAGTCGCTCCAAACCTGCCAAAGAGCCAGTCATGACCAGGGGCATCCTGCCCTTCCCCAGGACCAGCAGTCCATACCTTATCCATTCCCAGGGGCCTCTGCTTGCTGAGAGAGACTCTGGACAATAGATATAACATCCGAAGTATAGCATGGACCTTTTTTTGGCCTCAGTTTCCTCATGTGTAAAATGGGGTTCTTTGGGAATAGATATCAAGCATTTCACTCAGGGTCTGTCCCCCTTGTTCCCACCCTCAGGCACACAGGAGGGAGTTCTTCAAGCATCTCCCCCACACACATATCTTGTCCACCACCATCTACCAATCAGCAGATGATCACTGAGCACATGCTCCAAGCCAGGCACTGTGATTTGAGCTAAAAACTCAGCAGTAGATAAGACAGACCATCTCCAGCCTCTGAGAGCCCACAATCCAGTGAGGGAGGCAGCTGTCAAGTCAAAATGACTCAGGAAACACAGGGGATGGAGAAGGGGAGAAGTGTAAGAAGAGAGGAGGCCATTGTGGCCAGAGTAAGGGGCAAGGCATACAGGCAGGGAACACAACCTCTGCACTCCCCAGAGCAGAGCCCCAAAGCAGGCTGCCACCCGAGAGTGACAATGACAGCTGCCCCTCACTGCAAGCCTGCTGTATGCCAAGCACCCTACCAGGTGCTCCCCACAGTCTGACCAGCATGGCTGCTCTACAAGTGAGAAAACTGAATGAAGGGGATGATATGGAGGGGCTGGAGAGGTTGGTGCTTTCTGGAAGAAGAACCTGGCCTCCTGGCCTGACCCAGGCTCCCCTACCAAGACCTTCACAGAGTGGAGAGAGGGCCTGCCCTTTGACAAAGCTGGTCCCAGGCTGGGAAGTTCAGCGGCACTGACTTTCAAAGGCAGACAGAGCTCCTCACTCTCCTCCCAAGCTCCCAGAGTGAGGCCAAGCTTTTTTTATTCTAATAAAAGCAAATGCTGGGTAACGGCACCAAGCATGATTTGAAAACTGAAGACACTGTCAGCTGTAGGACACTGCATTCACCAGCCCTTAGAGGCAGCACAACCCCAGCAGGGCCCACCCACAGCCTAGGAACGGAAGGCCCTACTCCTCTGGATTCTAAAGTGCCCAACCACGTTTGCAAAATAGGAGCCATAGGGTGCTGTGAGGCCCAAGACAAGCCCATGGGAGCAGAGAGATGCCTTTCTGCCCAGCTGGAGGCAGACCCTCACCTACTTCTCCCCACGAGCTCCTTCCAGGCCCTCCACTGGAGAAACACACAAAATACACACACACAATGAAAGACATCTCTCTCTCTCTCTCCGTGTTTCTCTCTGACACACATCTCTCTGTGTCACTCACACACACACACACACACACACACACACAGTATGGCACCCAAGCTCACCCCATGTTAGCCTCCGCCTTCACACAGGGGCTTCCTGCCTTCCTGGACTTCCCCTCCTTCCATCATGGGCCACTCAGCCTCAATCTCCTCCCTTTTCAGGAAAAGGAAAGTAAGCCTCCTAGGTCCTCCCCCTGATCCATGACATCATAGCAGGAAGGCTAGACACAAGTGGCCCCAGCCACCACCCTCTTAAAGACACAGCAAGGCCCAGGCCCCCACCAGCAATGCCAGCAGCTAAGGAGGGGCAAGGGAGGCTGAGGCACTCTGGCTGTCTACCCAGAGCTGTACCCCCAGCCTTGCCTGCCCAGGCCCAGCCTCTGAGCCACAGTATGTCCAGCCCACTGCCCAGGACTTCTCCACTAGAGGGTCTGAGGCACACCCCTGCCTTAGTCTTCCCAAACCACACCTTTGCCTGCACCCCCCAGCTCAACCAGCCAGCCCTGTTCTAGTGGCCAGCCCCTCTGCTCCTCTCTCATAGCATACTCTCCAAGCCACTAACCCATCTTGTCAGGTTGATGTAGTCCCTCCAGATGTCCTCTGCTCATGAGACCTGATGTCATCCCCCTGCTCAGAAGCCTTTGAAGGCTTCTGCTGGTCTCAGGATCACAAGGGATCTGCTTTATAATAACATAATAACTTGTTAAACTGCACATGTGTGCATCTTTCTGTATGTATGTTATACTCAAAAAACTCACTGCCATTGTGCCAATTCTGACTCATAGGGGCCCCCACTAGGTTTCCAAGGCAGTAAATCTTTATAGAAGTAAACTGCCCCATCTTCCTTCCACAGAGCCTGCTGGTGGGTTTGAACTACCAACCTTCTGGTTAGCAGCCTTAGGCACTGCACCACCAGAACTCCTGTATGTATGTTATAAAACCAAACCAAACCAACCTCACTGCTGTCGAGTCGGATCCGACTCACAGTGACCCCTTCTTAGGTTTCCAAGGTGGCATCACTACGGAAGTAGATTGCCCAACCTTCCTTCTGAGCAGTGACTGGTGGGTTTGAACCGCCAGCCTTCTGGTCAGCAGTCAAATGTCTTAGGCATTACGCCACCAGAGCTCCTATGTATGTTATAGTTGATAGCAAAAGGAGAAAAAAGTATCTGGGATTTGTCTCACCAGATAGTAAAATATATAACAAAATTTATAATAAGTAGAATTTAGTTAAAAAGAAAATTAAATTAAAAAGAAATACAATTTCTCACCAGAACCTGTATGCTGGGGGCCTCCCCCTCCCCCTCCTCTGCCCTCAGCCCCATCATCTTTTTTCCTTCCAGCTTTTGAAAGTAAATACTCCATCCTGCCTCATGGCCTTTGCACCAGCACTTCTTTTGCCTGGCCAAGCCCTTTTCTCCCTCCTCTTAACCTCTCCCTCCTCCCTACCCACTTAACAACTCCTGCTCACCTTCAGACCCAGCTCAAAGCATCACTTCCTCTGGAATATCTTCCTGACCACGCATAAGAGGAGTCTGACTTCCTTACACAATCAAATTCCTTCTTCCCTCAGTTTCTAAACACTCCTTTGTGTGAGCATTTGATTAATGGGCATCTCCCCTCCAGCTATGGATTTCCTGGGGGTACAGCCTGTGCCTACTATAAGTCATCACTGATCTCCAGCACCTGGCATACAGTAGGTGCTCAATGCATATATGATGGATGAATGAATAAATTCACCCAGGGATCCTCACGGGCAGTATCCAATAGCACAACCAGGCATAATGCTCTAAAAACATGCAACAGTTGAGGGGTGGTCTCAGTGTGTGGCAGGGTTACATGCCCACCCAGGCCATAGTACAAATGGAATCATGCCTCCCAAACACCAGGACTGAGGAAGACGCTAGAGGTACCTCCCATGTCAAGGAGTTGGAGGGCCAAGTTCAGAAGGCAGGGTCAGCCCGAGGGATGGGGCAAAAGCCCAGAGGTGCAACAGCCCAGGGAGGGAGTTTGTAGTAGGACTGTATGGTCTGGAGAGAACAGGACAACTCCAGGAGGCCAAAGACTTGAACTGTTCAGACCATGCCAGGGCTGTGCATGGAACCGGGACATCAGCACACTCACCATGACACTGGGAAGGCATGGGCAGGCCACTGTCCAGCCAGTATGAGGGCCACAGAGAGGGAACCGAGGGGACTGGGAGCCAGCATGGGTTCACCTCCCTGCCTTTCCACTGTACTGTCACATAGGAGTTCTGGTGGTGTAGTGCCTAAGGCATTTGACTGCTAACCAGAAGGCTGACGGTTCAAAGCCACCAGCCACTGCTTGGAAGGAACGTTGAGCAATCTACTTCCATAGTGATACCGCCTTGGAAACTCAAGGAGGGGTCTCTATGAGTTGGATCTGACTCTATGGCAGTGGGTTGTGTGTGGTAGTCACATGGGTCAGGGCAGAGCATCAACAGTGGCCTGCCTGGGGGTCTGTGGTCAGAGGTTCTACAGTAGGTGCTTAAAAACATACCAGTCTTGCCTGGCATCCCCATGAGTGGCAAAGAGCTGGAAGGGAATAATGAAATGGAGATCCAAAAGAACCGTGGTGTGGAACCAGGAAAGCTCTGGGATCAGGAACAAGCCAAGAATCAACAGGAGGCCACTGACCACGTAAGAAGGCAGGACAGGACTCACCCACCAAAGGCTGGAGGGCATGGGTAGGAGACGTGGGCCAGCCCGCATCCCACAGACAACAGAGCCATACTATGCAGCCCAGAGGAAGGGAGCTAAAGACCAGGATCCAGGAACAAGGAAAGTGGAGGGGAAGGCAGGGCCAGCACAGGCCCGTCCCTCTGTCAGGGATTCCCTCAAGCTCCCAGCTGTCACATGGGCAACAGGGGCTGGACCCTGGCCAAGAAGCCAAGTCTCTGTGGATAAACAACAGTGCCCTTGGTTGAGCGGGTGTTGCACAGATGTTCAGTAGAGTAGATACCTCCTTGGGGCCTGGACAGGTGGCCACCTGAGGGTGTTCACAAGAGAAAGTCATTGAAGATCTTATCCCTCTACCCCACCCCCCCAGCATCTGCTTCTTATTCCCTAAACCTTTACATGCCAGATCCTGTGCTGGGGGTTCAGAAGAACAAAGCAGAACAGAAGAAGAGATCAGGGGTAGGAGGTAGGGAAGAATGGGACAGTTCCAGGACAGCATGGATCTAGTCATCTGCAATTCCCAGTGAGTGGGCAACACATCCTGGGGGAGGCATGAGGGCAGCACACCAAGCTCTAAGGGCAGAGAACACGGAGGCCCCAGTCGGGCACACCCTGGCAGTCAGTGGAGCTGACCTGATTGGCTTGTGCTGTGCTCACACACACACCTCAAGGAGGGCGAGGTGTTCCTGAGCTGGCCCGGCTCTCCCCATGCCACAGGCCCAAAGAAGCCACTCTTCCTCCTCTGCCCCCAGGGACCTAGTTCTGCACTGCCCCTTCACCACTGTCCTAGCTCAGTGCTGCACCGATGCAAAAAAGACCCCTTCTTCAAATTAATTCTTCTTCTAGCTCCTGTCTGGCTGCTCATCCATCCCCAGCTCACCCTCTGCATGGGGCTATCTGCACTCACTGAACACACTCCCACTCAGCTCCCCTGAGCAGCGTGACCCCCGGTACAAAACCAGCATCACACCTCAGAGCATGGCAGACCAGGCTCCTTCCTGGTTTATTTCCACTCTCTGAACCAAACCTTCCTCTCATGTCCTCCTGCTGGTGTTCCTCAGACATTGCTCATCCTGAGTCAGTCCTCCACACTCTCATCTCATCCAAACCAGGGCCCTTTGCCCAAACCTTCCCCACATCCTGCACTGCTGGTGCAGGGCTGGACCTCAGGAGCAGAAACCAGGGTATCCCCACCCTTGTCATCTCCTCAGCCCTCTTCCTAGCAGGTAGTGCTCAGTGTCCAGTTTCCATCCTCCTCTCTCCCCTCCAGTCTCTTTCACCTCAACCCCTCTGACCAGAATGCCACACCACCTCCCTGCTGGCCACTGTGCCCCACCCACTATACCTTCCCTGTCCACCCCTCTCCCAGCAGCCAGAGTGAGCTTCTTCCTAAAACACCCCACTAGTGCCGAGCCTACTTTTGCCCCATGGTCCACTGGCTGGGGTCAGAATCTCCTGTGGGGCATCTGAAAGCCACATATCTGGGCCTTGGCACAAGAAGGGTACTTCCTGAATGTGGAAGAGGGCATATCACAGTCTCAGACAGGCCCAGAGAGCAGGCTCAGCCTGCAGAACAGAGTGAGAAGGCCAAAGACAGGGAGCTGAAAAAGGTGATACCGGATGGTAAGGAGGAACACAAGGTGCTGAGGGGAACACAGTGTGTTGGGCAGGGGGCGGCACAGAGCCTGCATTTTTATGACTCCACTCCAGGAGTCCTGCCCTGATTCCACTGCTGCCAGTGAAGCCCACACCTGCCTGAGCACACAGGGCAGCATGGGGTAGGACAATAATTCAAACCCCTACACAGGCCTGGAGTCCAAAGTCTCTTCAACCAAGGGGTAGCCAGACGTGGGCTGTCTTCCAAAAGGAGCCTCTAGATCCACCAGGGCAGGGAGCAGAGAGCACGTGACATAGACACCAAACAGGACATACCCATGTGTGTGGCTGTAAGCCCATGCCATCCACATGAAATGTGACTCCTACTTGCCAGAGTGGCAACAAGACAACAGGAACTGGGTCAAAGGGACTGGAGCCTGCGGGACTGGGTTCCCTGAACCCCTGATCTGAGTGCTCTTGACACAGTAATCATGATCCACAAAACTTGGCACAGACGTGGGAGAACAGAAGGGCAGTGTTTGCACAGGGAGACAGCTCAGGGGGCAGGAGTGCATAGGAGGAAAGAGGTAACTACCGGCAGGAAGTGGGAGAGGAGCTGTTACACTGTGGGGAACTGCAGTCAATGTCATGAAACAAAATGTATATGAACTGCTGTGTGGAAAATGAATTTGTTCTGTAAACTTTCACCCAAATCACAATTTAAAAATAAAAAAATTTGGCACAGAGATCATGGCATCATCAGTTGTCCCAGT